CCCCCCCCCCCGGGAATCCCCCTGCCCCCTCAAGTTTAAGAATCGCTGCTGTCGTGACCGCATGAAACCATAATTCAGACCAAAAGAGGAGTCTCGTGGGAACCGCCAAAGCGTGGCCTTCTTTTCATGACTTGAAAAACCCTTGGAAAGAATGAAAATAGAATTCACCCAAACTCGCTCGTGTTACAGGCCTAACCAGTCAAGGTGCCAAGGTTCATCTGGGGCTACGTGTGCATCTTTAAAACGTTTAAGAGCTTCATGTGTTCTGACGGAGCTGTAATCCGTAGCCCTGATTTATGGGAGGAAAGAACGTTCTAGAACCTCTGTAGACAGTTTCCTGGTGGCATCAGCTTTGTATGCTGCGATTCACAGTTTGTGCATAAGGCTCACGGATTAAAGGGAAAACGCCTCCGTAGCAGCTCTGTGCTGGAGGGGAGGCCCCCAGGGCCTGCGGTGGGCAGGGCGGTGATTCCTAATCCCCCGGGACGGTGATGTCAACATCCCTCTGGTCAAGGCTGGTGACAGAGCCTCGGCTGTGTCTGCTCCTGTGTCTTCATTTCTAGCAAGTGACACCAAGTAGATCCATGAAATTTGCATCTGGGAGAGATAGCCGCCGGGGCAGACAGTCATTCAGGTGCACACCGACAGCAGAGAGAGCCCAGGGGTCTGCACAAGCCCCAAACCCCAGCCTGCCTGCACCCCACTTCCTGGCAGCCACCCACCCCGGGCATCTGAGTTTATGGAAAGGGCGAGGCTGGGCGTCCTTGGTGGGTAGCGGCCCTGCGCTGGTCCTTGTGTTGCTTGGAGCAGCCCTTGCCCAGAAGCTGGCAGCGCTCAGGGAAGCTCAGGTTCCCCCTGGCCTGGGAGGGGACATGGGGGCCAGGGAGGTGTCTGGACACAAGCTGAGTGACCCCTGAGGTCTGCAGCAGGGATATGGTCTGAGCCAGGGTGGGCGTGGTCACTCCCACGGGGGCTGGTCCAGTGAGGGAGTGAGCCCTTGATTACACACGCACACGCACACGCACACGCACAGGCACCTTTTAAAATTCCTCTTCTGTGCGTTGAACCAGACATGAAAGCAGCGCTGTCTGTATTTTGCACCAGAAGCCTGGCACTTGGAAGTCGGTCCGTGGACACCGCAGCCCGTGCACGCCTGGAGGGGTCCATGGGACAGGTGGGAGATGCTGAGACCTGGCCAGAGGAGGATGGTTTGGTGGTGGTCCTTGAACTGACGTTGCTGAATTCGCATCCAGCCTCGGGATTCCCCCAAGCCAAGGTCCAGCCAGTCCCCGGGGGAAGAGGGGGCACTCCCTGTGCCGGGGACCCGCTGTGCAAGGGCAGGGCTGGTGGGGACACTGGGTCTCCCTGTGCATCGGTGGCCGTCTGTCGGCCCTCACCATTCCTCTTGGCTTAGCGCCCAGCAGACTCGGCCGGACCCGGTCTGGGTCGGGATGCTCTCTGGAGTGGAACCCACAGCCCTGCAGAGGTGCTTCTGTCCAGACTAGCTGCCCTGCCGCAGCCTCTGAGGGTCTTGTCCACACAACCCCCGGCTTCCCACTTGGCCAGGGGGAGCCCCACCTGTTCCTCGCCTATGGCTCTTCCGTGATCCTCTGGATTCTTCTTGTTTTCGGAGCAAATCAGCAGATAGCCTGAGACTAGCAGATGACTGTCGAGAACACAATTATTTCTTTTCTTTTTGAAATTTTTATTGTGGTGTAGTTGCTTTACAGTGTTGTGTTAGTTTCTTCTGTTCAGCAAAGTGACTCAGTTATACATAATACATGTATCTCTTCTTTTTCAGGTGCTTTTCCTATATAGGTCATTACAGAGTACTGAGTAGAGTTCCCTAACACAATTATTTCTAAATGCCGAATTTCTCTGTAGCCTACCTCCCCCCTCATCTCTGTACTGACCCATTTTTCTTAGTTCTTCGTTGAATGCTTTATGTGCTGTACTATCTGCCTTTGACATCACAGTCAGTTGAGGTCATATTTGGGGCTGGGATGGGAGGATACCTGCACCTCAGTGTATAACTAGTTTGGCTTTCGGAACGATATATTTGTGAGTATGGTCTCGGAAATCAAGGTGACATTGCTTATTTCCCAGCCTAGAGATTTCCAGGAAAGAGACTTTTCATACCTTATCACCATGTATCCATGGCACCAAAACCTTTACTGCTCTTGAGTAATTATGTGCTGATGCAAGCTCTCTTATTTGGAGCAAATAGCCTTGCTAATTTACCAAAGAAAAGAAAAAAAAAAAACCCATCCCAAAATACAAATAAAAACCCGAACACCACAAAAACAAACAGCAAAATGGCATAACAACTTCAGATGAAGCCAAATGGAAACAGATAGTTTAAATACTTTTAAAAGGACTCCAGGCAGTTAAACTTTGCTTTGCCCATTTCACTGTGACGCATGCAACCCACGAGGGAATTCCCTAGTCCCAAATCCTAGGAAATGTGGTGTCTGTTCTTTGTTTTTAAAAGGAGAAAGGCATCCCTTGCTTTGTGTCACTGTTCCACACTTTTCCACGGTCAGCAGTGTCTTCCTGGACAATTTTACACCTTTCCTAACGTCATTCTTTTAAAAAAATTTTTAAATTAAAATATATCGTGTTAGTTTCAGGTGTACAGCACAGTGATTCAGTTATACATGTACATAGATTCCTTTTCAGATTGTTTTCCTTTCTCAGTTATTACAGAATATCGAGCAGAGTTCTCTGTGCTCTACGGTAGGTCCTTATTAGTTATGTATTTTGTACATAGTAGTGTGTCTGTGTTAACCCCAGACTCCTGATTTATCCCCCCCTCCCACCTTTCGCCTTTGGTAACCATAAGTTTGTTTTCCATGTCTGTGACTCTGTTTTGTAAATGAGTTCATTTGCATCATTTTAAAAAAAGATTTATTTATTACTTATTTATTTATTTTTGGCCGCGTTGGGTCTGAGTTGCAGCACGCAGGCTCTTCGTTGTGGTGTGCGGGCTTCTCTCTAGTTGTGGCGTGTGAGCTCCAGAGCGTGTGGACTCTGTAGTTTGTGGCATGCAGGCTCTCTAGTTGAGGCGTGCGAGCTCAGTAGTTGCGGCGTGCTGGCTTAGCTGCCCCGTGGCATGTGGGGTCTTAGTTCCCCTGACCAGGGATCGAACCCGCATCCCCTGCGTTGGAAGGTGGATTCTTTTTTTTTTTTTTTTTTTTTTTTTTTTTTCTTGCGTTATGCGGGCCTCTCACTGTTGTGGCCTCTCCCATTTGCGGAGCACAGGCTCCAGACGCGCAGGCTCAGCGGCCATGGCTCACGGGCCCAGCCGCTCCGCGGCATGTGGGATCCTCCCGAAACGGGGCACGAACCCGCGTCTCCTGCATCGGCAGGCGGACTCTCAAGCACTGCGCCACCAGGGAAGCCCGGAAGGTGGATTCTTTACCAGTGGACCACCAGGGGAGTCCCTGTATCATTTTTTATTGAAGTGTAGTTGATTTACAATATCATGTTAGTTTCGGGTATACAGCACAGTGATTCAGGTTTATACATATATTCCTTTTCAGATTCTTTTCCCATATAGGGTATTACGAGATACTGAGTAGAGTTCCCTGGGCTGTTCAGTAGGTCCTCGTTGGTTGTCTATTTTATATAGAGTAGTGTGTATACGTCAATCCCAATCTCCTAATTTATCCCTTCCCCCCTCTCTCCCATGGTAACC